GTAGAGCAAGTCCATCTGACACTCAATCGATAGTTGAAGAAAGTTTATAAAAGAGAAAATGACGCGCCGCAACCAAAGTACAAGAGGAGTTCGCGGCGGCAATCAATTTGGTGGAAATCGCCAGACAAGTGGCAATTCACAGAATGCAAAAAAGAAAGAGAAACGATCGCCCAAGTATCATCCGAGCGACCCAGATTTTCGTTATGCCAATGTAACAAGAAGCCTCATCGAACGAATTGGAATGGAGGGATTGGAGTACCCTCAGATTATGATATCTTCCATCAAAGAATTAAATGAGCCAGACTGGGATGGTTTGAAACCCAAATTGAATTTAACTGGTCAAGAAGACAAAATTGAGAAAGAGGCAAAGAAAGAAGAATTGAAAACGGAGAGTGTTGAATATCATCGACAAAAGCGATACTGGAGCAAAGCGAAGTGGCACGTGCATTCGCTGATTATGGAATCATTTGTTACCAGTAAAATGAAGGACAAGATTATACAGGAGGTCGATTACAATGAGAAAATTGAGGGTGATCCTATTGAATTATTGAGACGCATCATTAAATTTATGACAACCAGTGATGTGACAGACTGGGAACCCATTACATTGTGGGAAGCACTACAGAAATGGGTGAATTGTTGTCAGAAAGGAAATGAAACGGTAATTGAATACCGTAAATGATTTGAAGAATGCGCAACTACAGTATTATCTTTCATGGGTGATTCGTGGCTAGATGTGTTTGCCTCGAAGACGACCGGGCTGTGAGTGCTTGTTCGAGCGCTTGGAATTGGGTCTTTGCGATCTGTTGCTTGGACCACTTTTCGTAGGCTTTGTTATCGGGCTCTCCGTCTCTGGTCGCGGCTCTCATCGAGAACTCTTCTCCTAGTGCTGCCATTGCTGCAATGATTTCCTTGTGATGTGCTTGGTCCATTACCATTTTGCGAGTGATGGATACGTCCATCTGGTTCTGGACTCTTGGCACTGGAACCTATACAGCTCTGTTGGAAGATGGTGGGAACTTTGTTGGGTCGATTCGAATGTCAGTTCGTAGGGAACAGAGCCGTGGGACCAATCTGAGCTCGATTCTGAAGTATGTGGCAGCGGCTCTAAATGGTGCTGGAAGTCCTGGTCCCGGTCCTGTAGCGATCGCTTGTCCCATGTTGTCGATGACGTGCAGGCTTGTGAATTCGTACACGTCACTAGTCACGTCAAACAATTTGCTGGTGGCGGCGTTGACTCGCGAGCGAACGTCTGGGCATACTGATGTGTAGCGTTTCATCAAGAAATCCACCTTGTGTTCCATTGTTGTCTTTGTCTGCTTGATGGAGTTCACAGACT